AAACAGTGAATGTTCTTCTATTTATTCTTCATGTATCATTTTCTCATTTTGGGAATCAGGCTCTGAAGTGCTGGCAATTGCAATAATCTGAACCATAAGTTTTTGAAAGTTATTCCTTAATATAGACCTTGATTACCTTTGTGGGTGGTGTTTCTTTGTACCTAAATGAAAAAAAGTGTTATGACTCGTTTTTTATGCCCCACCTAAAAGTTCCTTATTCTTACTAAAGGTTCAGATAGAAGGCTGTGTTTTTCTCCCTAGATTTCCTGATAAATATGACAAATGCATTTCATCTGTTTAGAAAGATGAATTGGGCTTCAATTATGAGAAAGTAATATTGGCACACATTTTTGTTGGGCCTGAATTGTAAGGGATTAACGATTACATTTATAAAGATTTCTGGACTATTACAGTAAACACTTCTTTGCTCAATGGATTTAGATGACAATTTACTAAGTAATTCTGCAGGCTCGTTCAATTACATTTTAGAGTGAATTTAGACTGGAGCAAGGATGTGGAATTCTTTCTGAACAGTGCAAAAGAAAAGGTCTTTCCTTTTTCAGTTCCTACACATAAGCATAGGTCACAAAGGCTTTCTAAAGAGGACTCTGCCAGCATAAAATACTAATTGGAAAACTTTCTCAGTGCTTTCTACCACTGTAAGAAAACAAGGCAGAAGAAGCAGGACCATTACTATCATGATTTGGGGGAACTGATTTTTTGTAGATATGCCAATAAAATTGTTCATTTAAATCTGCACTGTCTGTACAGTCTGGGCAAAGATGGAAAGCAGAAAAGCAGCCTTCCAGAAGTGACTACTTCTTTATAGGAAAACAAACACTGGCCACTCCTGGGGAACTGACTCTTCAGGAACTCTAAAGTAACTAACTGAGACTAAACAGCCAATATTTTAAAAAGTGAAGTGAGAATGCTATTACAGAAGAGATACAGACTTAATCTCTGAGTTGAGAAGGATGAGAACAATCAGCTCACAGTAATTACCTGGGAACTGGTTCATCAGAAATGGATGTTTGAATAATGCTGAGTTTTTCTGTTTTATTATTTTTTAATTGGTAATTCCCTAGAACCAATCCTCCAGAACCACAGACAGCTGTGATCCAAATGTAAGCCTACAGGCAGTAAGCCAATTTGGATGGTGCAGGACATCATGCATCATTGAAGACTATAAGGGTAACAACATTGCTACTATGGAAAATTTTTTGTAAGCATAATGGTAGCAAAATTTATTTTAAACTAACATTAATTCTTCAAATTTGCAGCTTAATGCAGCTTTCATCTGAATGTGTGTAAGGCAATGTCGTTTCACCTCCCTCCAAAAGTCACATAAATAATGTATGTTGACTTACCAAAACAATAGCTGAGAAGTTTAGACTCACATTCTTCACAAGCGAGAAGTGTTCCTTAACCTTAACAATAAAACTTTTTCATTAGGAAAATGATAAGATACAAACAAACCACTGTAAAACTGTGATTTTAAATCCACACATGCATATAAATAAATGCAACCAAAATTATTGGTAACAGTAACACCATGTTTTCACAGTGTAAAGCTTGTGCCCAGTAGTTCAGAAATCTCACATTAGTACTGTAAAACATTCCAATGGCACTGGTCAACATTACAGCCACACTGTTAGTCTGATTTAGTCTGCTGCCTTCAAACTCTGCATAGTCTTAAAGAGCAATTTTCATGGTCTAAATTCCTCTAAGAATGGCACTTCCTTTCTAGTGCTATGACACTTTAGGGCTACAGTTGTTTGCCTTTAAATCACAAAGCTAAGAGTGTCTCAAATACTCTATGTCATTATTCCATCAATGAAACTTATCAAAGTCTATATGCCAGGAAGCCAGCAAATCTGCTTTTAAGCACCAATAGATCTCTGAAATCTTAGGTGTTATTTCTAGAAATTACATGCCTGCATGACAATAACACTGTTTAAAGATGCACCACCTTCTGAAGGAAGCCCCAGTATGATTCAAGTAAATAATTGTGATCACTTATATATGCACTCTAAAAGGTACCCAACTACCTTAACCTGTATCCATTTAAACAGATTCCTTTTCAGCTTTCAGACAACACTGCCACTCCCCTCGATATTACCTTCCTGCTTTTGTAAACTTCTGACACTTTTCTGTTCTATTTTCCTCTCAACAAGAGCAGCTCCTTCACAATATCCTCAGAAACATCAATTTCAAGGACTTTTATATGTTAATTTGATAATATACTCATTTTTAAGCATACTGCACACATTCAAGGACAAATAAGATTTCTATTAAGATAATGGATTGAACTACATGATGTGAAAATTGCTAACAGTAGGGAAGGAGCAGTAATGGCAACTGGTCATCATTAGACAATGTAGAGGCAACAAAGAGGCAGGGAGCAGGTACCTGTTCAGAGACAGATGCCCTTGAAGTACAGAAAGCCACAAAACAATAATAATAGGACAGGTAAAGAAACAGGGCAGATAAACAGGCCTGTGGCAGAAGAGTGAGAGTTACCTCATGGTATTTAGCACAGCATTTATTTCAAAGTAGCCTGGATATGTCAAGGGTCATAAACCCTGAGATGATGTAGTACTTCAGCCCTGGAAGCCTTCGGAACCCAAATGCTTCATTTCCTCCTGAACTGTGTGGGTTGGTTTAAACAACACAATAATTTGCCTAAGAACAGGATCAGCTACAGAGCACAGATCAGCTTGTGGAGTAGCTCATGTTTCTGGCATTTCCTAGTGCCAAGCAAGTGCCTGGGAATCACCTTGCTAAATCCATAAAGGTGTAAAACTCTTCCTGCTGCTCTGAGCGATCAAGATAGAAAAATGTGTCAAAATCATCCTTTAATATGCAAATGCTAATTTGCTGAAAACATAATAAAAGCATATAGGGATTCACAATTGCTCCAGGTGTTCTTTGGATTACTGGAAGTAACTTGAACTGGTTTTTTAAGCAGCAAGTCAGTATTTCTCAGTAAGCATTCCTGATTAGAGTCGTGGTTTTATGTTTTTTTTTTAACTTTTTTGACCTTTTCTATCTGGGACAACATATTTGTATTTTGTGAGCTTCCAAGGATGAAGGTTTTATTTCTTTCTTTCTTTCTCCCAATTCTTGTGTGACTAGGACAAATTCTTTGGGAATGAATAGAAGCTATTTGGCCTGCAAAACTTATCCTTTTTTGGTTCTATCTTTCTCCCATGATGTCATGCAGTTATTTTTCTGAATGACTTCAATGTGTTTGCCTCAACAAGTCTGCTATTTTATAATTATTATTGTACTTTTCATCTTTTTAAAAGGAAAGTTCCACCTTTTCATTAAAAAAAACCTCAAAACCTACGACAAAAAATCCCAAACAAGAGCACATTTTTCTTTTCTTTTTTCCCCCTTTTTGTTCATCATAATATCTAGGAATTGTACTGTAAGGAATATATAAGATGGTAAGTACTACATGTGTCCTGGAAATATCAACTCTTGCTACAATTTCTGTATTGAGAATCTCTGATAACATCAAGCTAACAGTAAATAATTTGTGGGACTCATATAATTTTAATCTTACAGTTTTTCAATCTGTTAATGCCTCTCTACTGCATTCTAATATTTAAATATGATAATGATGATGGTGACAGAAGTATATTGCATTTGATACAATTATATTAGTAGGAATTTAATAAATATTCCCTCCCACTCCCTCAAAAAAAATAATAAAATTTCCTAAAAGAAGGGATTCAATAGAAAGGAAATTATAAAAGATTTCTGTGGTAACTGGAAATATATAGACATCTCCCTTTCATCTGGCTTCAGAAGTAAAGGGGACAAATTCCAGGTTGCTAAAATGGAATTTGTCAATGTAGAGTTTGGAGCAGATAAGTGGGATAGCAAACCTGAATCTGATAAAAGATAATTTGTGATAGTGACTACCTTTCCTGCCTAGCTTCTTGTTAAAACAGAGTTGTATAATCTGATTGTTGGCCTGTCAGTGCTAAAATAAGCACAAAGTATTTCCTGAGACGCTGAGGAAAAGCACTGTGCTCTTAGCACAGCATTTTTTCTCTACAAGTGAGAATTTATAACAGGATCTTGCCTCTGGAGAGTACACTGGATTTAGGAGGCTCCTGTGTACACATTCTGGTATTTTAGGGGGAATACAGTCAGAAGAATCCCAGCCAGGTGCCAGCAGCAGTTCTGACCTAGGGGACAGAGGTGTCCTTTCCACTACACTTTCCTGGGATGACACTCACGGAGGGGACTCAGGGACACTTGCATGGCCATGGACTACAGCTACTACACTACTAGTGTGTTCCCCTAGCAAGAGCACAAATGTATCCTCAATATCTCTGATGTACCCTGTAACATTGCTTCAAAGATGGCACATGATATTTACATAATATTTAAAACCCCCACAAAATATTCTTATTGTTCTTATTTCCCCTTTATCCACTCAAGTCTCTGACATACACAGCTGTTCAAAGATTCATTTTCATATCTTAAAAATGAATTCAAAACTACACATATTTACCCATTTTTGGTTGTTTCTCACTTTCTGAAAAAAACCTTTATGAAACTAAAATATAACTATTATGAATTTTAATCTATTTTGATATTGAAGATATATTCTTCTATACAATTGATCACTGATAAAATTAATTACCCTTGCAAAGTCCTTTAACTAGCTTTTAGATTTGAACAATTTGAAATAAAACATGTCAATTAAACACTCCACAAAATCCTGAGTAATTTCAGTAGTTTTAAACAAGACTTCCAATTCTATTTCCATAGTCCCAAATCACATGTACAAAATACTGCCCCTCGGTTAGAACCTCTGCTTTCTGAAACTCTTTATAGACCTCTGTTATGTGCTGTGCCTTTATTTGTATTATCACACCGTGAGTGCATTTATAATACAGCAGGTAAAGGTAATGAGGAGCTGGTAATAAAACATGAGAAATAAAATCTTTGGGCTTCTTTCATGTTCTTCAATACCTCTCTAGGAAAAGCTCAGAAGAAATCCACATTAGAAAGCCACACAGAAAAGCTGTCAAGGACTCAGAGTAGGCAAAAAAAAGAACCAGAAAACCCAGTCACACAAATATTTGCACTATGGGAATGTGGTGAGTCTCTCTCTCTGGTTATCAAGATAAATTATGTTGTAACTGTCATCTCTCTCATTCTCCAAGTTTTCAATGAAATTCAGCTGGTTAAAATCTAACCTTTCCAATCAAAGCTCAGACTGTGGTCTCCATGAGTCAGGAGTTGCTCTATGAAATAACTGCAATTGTCTTTGGGGGTTCTGTTGGGCGGGTTGGTTTTTTTTGTTTGTTTGCTGCTTTTTTTTTTGTTTTTTATTTTTTAATTCATGCACTTTCATTGCCACTCCTGCAAAAAAGAAAACATCCCATTCTCCAAGGGAAAACATAAGGAATGGAATTCAACACTTACACAATTTTTATTCATTTATAAGTCATGCTTTTGGCAGCAATGCATGGGATTGTCTATGTATTTATTTTTTTCACTGAACGAAGACATTCTGCTTTAGATTTTCTGCATATTTAAAATATAAGTGTCCTCCTCACTACCATAAACTACCATTAACACACAAAAAACCTGCATAGTTTCTTATTGGAATATATATCAAGCTGTTTAAATACTTCTATTGTGGAGTGGGGGGGGGGTCATGGAATAATACTCACTAATTGTAATGTTTAAAATCAAAAGCTAAAGCAAAGAAACTCTTCATTTTCTGTTTCTTTAGTTATATTTTTCTAATAGACTGCCGATACAAGTCAACTGATATAAAGGACAAATTGTTAACTTCTTTTAAAGTAACATTATGAAATAGTAATTTCCTATTTTTAAATTATAAATGATCTTGCTGTTTTCAGGAAATGCACTGTTACTGAAAAGATGCTTTAAAGAAAGGGTGGATCTAATAGACAAGAGGCAAAGGATGCAGCAAACTCACTGGAGTTTAATTATGGCACTGACTTATCAGAAAGCCAGTTATCCAAAATATTTTGAGTTACTTGAAAAATAGGATTTTCCCAAGACTGACAGGAACTGCAAAGCTTTTTAGCACAACTGGAGCAGGTTCTTGGTAGACAAGCCTAATATTGAGGAGCATTCTAGAATCCCTGTACAAGCTTTGCAAAGATTCAATTGACTCAAGAGAAAAAGATAATCAACACAAAAGAATTGTTTACATGTAGATTATTTAATTCTAAATATTATGTTTATGTCAATAAAATGAAAGCATAAAATAACAAATACCTGGAGCTAAAAGAAAGTGATTTTTGGGGCCTTATTCTCTCCTTTGTGGCACTTGACATACATATTCATTTGTGTGCAAACTGTAAGTTAAATGAACTTTTTGTACTTAGTATTTCTAACAATAATTTGCATTCATTTTTGACAGACACTGGAGACAGCACAAAGTGAGAGGTGACTTCTTGATTCCCCTTTGCAAGCTGCACGTGTAACTTTACACGTGCACTTCTGTGTGCTTATGAGATGATTGGAATTTGGCTGCTCGAGATTTATTTCACTGCACAGTTTTGTATGAATGATGAATTCTTTCTGCTCTCAGTTTAAGATATGAGCATCTAGACTGCTTAGTCAGAGTGCAGTCAGGAACCCAATATTTAAACAGACTAATCATAAAATTTAGTCACCAAAAATCTTAATTAAAGATGATAAAGGCTTGATAAAAATATTAAACTGATGTTCCCAGTGAATTATTTATTTTTAAAATGCTTTTTTCAAGCACCTGGATTCTTACAGAAATGCTAAATTACTTACAATTTCTGTAAAATTAAAATCATTACTCTTCATACTTATTTAATAACTACTACAAGAAGTGATAGGAATTACAGAAAGCAGAATTAATGTTAAATCTTTGAAAATAATAAATTTATACAGCTACCAGTAACTCCTATAAGGTGGTTTATACATTCTGATTCTGTAAAGAAAAATCTTTAACTCACAAAGACAAAGCAAGTTCAGAACTTTTGCAATTCAGTAGTTGTGCAGAATTCCTTGGACAGAACACATCCTTTAAACCATTATAATGAGATTTAACTGCCATGTCTCTTAACTCTCTAAGCAGCAGGTGAAAAAGTTGAGTAACTGCAAACACTCAGTAACCTTTAACTGCTGGTAATATCAAATAAGGCCAACCTTTCACACACGACTCTTGTCATGCTAGCCACATCCAAAATTTAGGTTCATAACCTTTTATGCTAATTCCTAAGGATAAAAAATTTGGGGCGGGGTGGGGGGGAGGGAGGGGATCTACAGTTCAGTGCTGAGCAAATGAAATGAAGTTACTATTTGTTAAATTTTAACACACAGACCCATGACCTGCAATGACCACAAAGCCAACGTTCCTTTGGTTCTGCAGCCCTGGAATGGGAGAGCTGAGAAACAGAGCTGACACATGAACTGAACTCTGGAATCAAGAAATTCACCTAGCTGGCTTCTCCAGCTGTGGTCAAACACTTCAGAGACAGTTGTCATAAGTCTTAAGATGTCATCCCTTTTACTAACTTTTTATCATCCTCAAGCCCCACTAAATGGAATTGCCTTCCTGAGACAATTGTGACAGGTCTCAGTGTGACCTGTGAGGGGACAGAGTGTATCCAAAAGCTCACTGGAGCTCGTATGCACATGCTTCATGTGGAGAGAGGTTATGGAAATAATCCGGAATAAAATTATCAAAGACTTCACTGTTTAAATCTAGCAAGCAGAGATCATACTAAGAGTTATGCCCATAAGGGTTAAAACTTGGTTAAATATGTAGATTTTTCACAGAAATAACAAAAAGCACATGCTCAGCAGGCAGGTCACTTTCCTGCCAACATCAAATCTCAATTCCAAGCCTTTGGGTCATTCCAGTATTTCAAAGAAAAAAGTTGCCAGACCTTTGTTTTTCAATAAGGACAGTACAGAACATGTCCCTAGCTTACTTTAAAAATTTTTGAAGAAATTTACCAAGCTGGTTTTCTAAGTTTCTTTGGATTTTGTGTGCTCGTTTGTTTTAAGGATTGCTATGGTATTCATAATTACCCAAACTACATCCCAGACACGTGGATATTGGGTACAGCAGCATAACTTCTAGAAATTGTAGACATTTGGGCTGAGTGCCAAAACATTAATTCTGCAGAATCTGAAGCTTAAAATTTCTTTCAATTATATTCCTCATATGCAAGAAATATATTTAATGTTGCAAGATAAGAACAGACATAATATAATGTACACTGATATAAAATTAGAATACGTAAAATTGCCTCTTAATAATTCTTCCTTCTCAGTGCTCTTTCAATTTCTAAAGAGTTTTTAATACAATGAGTTTTAGCTAATAAGTTCACGTGTCCAATAGTCTGGGAAAATCTAAGTAAAGCAATTTAATTTGAAAATGCTCAACATGATAGAGAAAGTGGGGACGATGGAGCAATTCCTTAGGCACTAACATTAGGGGCTTCCCTTGTCTCTGGTCACACGTTCTTATTCCCTCCCCCAAACCAGCATCTCCTGACATGATGCTGGTCAGAAAGACCTTGCTCATCTTTTTTAAGTAAGCTCAAGGAGTGAGGTTATCCTCACAAATCGGGAATTATTTTCTGCCAGTTCACTTCCCTGAACTGGTATAACAGCAAAGTAGAAATATGAAGCCAGGATCAAGATGACCATTCCTGTCTGGACGTTTACTGTATGCAAGTAAAAAATAACAGATAATGCTATTTGAAAAAACAGCAGGGGGAAAAAAAAAGATGTGGCTCTTGAAGCCACAACTTCTGAAGACAAAATTATGCTTCCAAGCTTCTAGCCTTCTGTGTGTTTATTAGTTTTTCTCATATTTCTGATTCGTAACCAGTCTGAGATTCTTTTGCTCAGAGAAGTACTGGTTATATCTTAAGATCTATATAAAGCAGTTGCTGATGCTGTAAATCACCTTTTTACTTACAAGTTGTGTGGTGCGATAATTCTCACTTTTCATATTTTATTCCACTCTAATACTCTGCTCATAAGAAGCAGAGATGTGAATAAGTATTGCATGAAATAGAGAGTGCCACCAGTACAGCGTGTAGGTAAAATACTCAGAACTGTTAAGAAACTACCTTTGAAAAAGCATCTGTGCCGACATGGGAAATCTATCTGTGTGCAAAGTAGGAATTGTGGTTGTGGTTATGAAACTGCTGTATCATTAAATACCTCAGAGGATGTGAAATCAGCCATATGCTGTCAGGACTGAGTCATCCATGTCTCAGACATGGGGCTGTGGAAAATGTCCCACCCTAGCAGCTCCCAGTTAAGAGGGAACATAAAAGGACAATGGAGTGTCTGAGCCAGATGGCAACAAATTCACCCAAACTCTTCCTGCAAGCCAGGGTCTAAAGCTATAGATTTTCCCCACAATTGAAAGGAAGATCAACAGCTACAACCAGACCTTAAAAGCTAAAGCATTTGAGAAATGCTGTGAATCACAGAAAGAAAAAACACTTGTGCATGAAGGACCAGTGAGGTGTGCTTTGCTAACTGAGGGCCAGCCAAATGAGAAGGAAACTGGCTTCAGAACTGTGACACAAACATGGATGCAATATAATTTAGTGCAGTTACCTACAGAAGTGGATGGCACAGAGTGCACACACTATGCCCAAAACAACATTAGACCTGATGAAGGGAAGTATACACAGTATATCCAGTGTTTTCTCAGCTGTATGATAGACACCAGCTAATACAAAGAATCATTGATTTCATGAAAATTTTACGCCTCTGCTTGTCTCCTTCAGCTATCACACCTTTCTAAGAGGTGAACTATAAACCCTGAGTGTGTAAAAGGGGGGCAAAATGAAAAGCTGTGCTTAATCTTTCAGAGAATATAGCAACACAGCTGTCAGTGCTCATCCTTGGGGCTAGGGTACGTGTGCAAGCAAAGTCTCACATTTACCAAGGAATAGAAGACAAATAATCTGCCTGGAAACTGAACCAGAGAGAAATCTGCTTTCCACTTAGATCAAACAAAGCTTAAAGGTACATGGCCTTCAAGAGAAAGAATGGAAACAAAGCAATCCGGTCCATTTCCAGCTGACTGGATATTAAGAGGCCTGTGACAAGCCTGTTTCTTCTCACTATTGCATCAGTTTAAATTTGCAGGTCAGTTGTCAAATATTTACTTTCAATAAAAGTTAACGTAATTGTGATTATTTTAGGAAACCTTCCATGCAGTCATATCGACAAATGGCTCTTCACTACAGGGATGCTCTTCATTAAACAACTTCTACACACTTTGAGCTCTTACTTGTCTATTCTTCCTATTGTTTTAGCCAAATGCCAGAGGAAGATTTC